ACTAATTTCGGCAAATGTTGGTAATTTGGAAAGAAACTATCCTTGCAAAAAATGATCACGTTTTGTATAACCATCATATGATTTAAGGAACCGGACATTTGTTTAATCGTCTTTGAATTATACTATGATAAAAGATATGGACATTATGGGGTCTCCAACGAGCAATTTCAATGACAAATACTACTTATTACTTTAAAAACAAGTAAAAAAAATTAAGTTCGACCGGGCAGAACTATTATTATCATCCACCTTAGGATAAAGGAAAAATTTTTATATGAAAGTATCTGAATTCAAGCGTGTTTCACTTTAAATTTCATATACCAGAAAGATGGTTTGGTTAACTTAGTCAAAGTTAACTTATCAAAAAACCATAAAGTGAATGAGGCCGTTATATGGGGCCATACCAAAAGGGGAACCTCTGTTGACAGTTTTATACTTCAAGGATTGTCATCTATCAAACCTTCTAAGATAACAAATTTGAAATAATTATGTGCGTAAATGTGACTAGGATTATCAACATACTCAATATCGGTAGGTATCGTTATATGTGTTAGACAAATCCGAGGAGAAATGTGGCAAAAATCATCAAAATACCGAATTTCGAGAGACCGTTATATGGGGAGTATACCAAAACGTGGACCGATAGATCATTTTCAATACCAACCATCCTATACACAATACAAATCGTTCTGCTAAATTTTGATGCTCTGCGTCAAATAATGTAGGCTGTATCGTAATTTAAACAAACAGACATACAGACAGGCAAATTGACTTAGAAGTTTGTGCTGATTATGAATATACATATGTATGTTCTATGGGGTCTATGACGAACATTTATTTATGGATGTTACAAATGGAATGAAAAAGTTTATATACCCTCCTTTCCAAGGTGGACAATATAATAAGCATTAAAGACTAAAATTACGGGCCGGCAACGTGGACCGGGCCAGCTAGTAGATATATATAAATGAATTGTTGTTCGTTGGTAATGGAATCAGTTGAAAACGGGTACCCGATTTACATGTTTTTTGTACAAAGGTTCGTCAGGTTCGAGTTAGGTCTTTAAAAAAAAAGTATTGACCACGCCTACTTTTACGTCCACAATTTATCTAAAATATTGGATAATTTTTCTAAATGTTCGATCTACCCCGACTTTGGTTTTTATGCAAAGAAAAAGTGACCCCAATTTGAGGTATTTTGAAGGGATCAAAATGATATATGATATCTATATATATAAAAATCAATTGTTGTTCGTTGGTAATGGAATCAGTTGAAAACGGCTTGACCGATTTGCATAATATTTTGTACAAACGTTCATCATACCCCAAGTTAGGTTTTTAAAGAATTGACCGCGCCTACTTTTACGCCCACAATCTTGATTTATCCAAAATCTTTATATTTGCCAGATAATGAAGATATCGGTTTGAAAATTATTACACGAGATACTGTTGACTTTCCCTCCAACCCTAGGGATTTATTTGGGGACTGAGGAACTGACCACGCAAATTTCTAATCTATCTATATATATGAAATAAAGTTGTGTTAATTGCGGTTAACTCAAGAACCGCTGATCTAATTTTAACGATTCACACAAAATCGTAATTGTCTCTTGGAAGAAATAGATAAAATCCAAAAAAATCACGTAAAAATGTGAAATTTGAAAATTTTTATGTTGACTTTTGTGGTGTACAATACTAATGTTTTATTTTGCGTGATTTTTTCCATTTTGACTTACTATTTTGGAATGTACATTTGTAGTGTTTTTTTTTTTTTTTTTTTTTTTTTTTTTAATTGAATTCTAATATGATGTGTAGTCTTTTTGGGTAGTATAAAGCGACGACAAATATGGAGTGGCGTCCTAAATAGATGATGTCAAAATAATTTAACGTGGTCAAACCAAAGTTAAAGGATAATTACTTTTTTCAAAATTGCTAAAAAATTAAAAAAAGAGCCTATTGCATTGCAAAAACTCTAAAATCGGAAAAAAATAGAGATCATTTTTTTCAATGGAATCAAATTTCGAAATAATAGTAAGGACCAAACTTCGCAAGGACTTTTAAACATTCGCTGTAAAAAACCTGCGAACAAGTTGAAGATTTTTTTTTAGTTGCTATGCTTATAACTCAAGAACGTTTTTTTCAATTCATACAACTTAGGAATGAAATCTTGGGAAAACATGCCAATTAATATCAAATATGAAATAGTACCCAATACGATGTTAAATATCGATCTTTCATGTCTGAAATTGGAATTTAGCTTTCAACTGCAGGATCTACATCGTGCTTCAGCTCAAAGATGCGAACACATTTAAACAAAAAAAAACGGCATAACGTTATGGGGCTCATTTCAAAACGGGGACCTACCTACTTCTTTCTCATGACAATAATCCGTCCAATGAGAACTCAATATGCAAAATTCATTGGGACTGAAATCAGTGAAATACCGAATATAAAGGGCGCAAAAAGAAAAGGGAAAAGAATGTCTATTCTTTCAGAAATTCTTACTAAAATTTCACGATACCTTAAATCGCTTTTGCAGTTCATGATATTGGTCATAACCCCCCCGATAAGGATACAATCCGATTTCAAGTATATCATACATTTTAACCATATTTTCATACTAATTTCGGCAAATGTTGGTAATTTGGGAAGAATCCATCCTTGCAAAAAATGATCACGTTTTGTATAACCATCATATGATTTAAGGAACCGGACATTTGTTTAATCGTTTTTGAATTATACTATGGGGGTCTCCAACACGCAATTTCAATGACAAATACTACTTATTACTTTAAAAACAAGTAAAAACCGGGCAGAACAATTATTATCATCCACCTTAGGATAAAGGAAACATTTTTATGTAAAAGTATCGTAATATGTAAAAGTATCTTAATTCAAAAGTATCTTATCTCAATTCAATTCGTGTTTCACTTTAAACTTCATATACCAGAAAGACGGTTTGGTTAACTTAGTCAAAGTTAACTTATCAAAAAACAATAAAGTGAATGAGGCCGTTATATGGGGCCATACCAAAAGGGGAACCTCTGTTGACAGTTTTATACTTCAACGATTGTCATCCATCAAACCTTCTAAGATAGCAAATTTGAAACAATTATGTGCGTAAATATGACTAGGATTATCAACATACCCAATATCGGTAGGTATCGTTATATGTGTTAGACAAATCCGAGGAGAAATGTGGCAAAAATCATCAAAATATCGAATTTCGAGAGATACTGTTATATGGGGACTGTACCAAAACGTGGACCGATAGATCATTTTCAATACCAACCATCCCATATTTCGATTTTGGTAAAATCCTCGTAATTGCCAAATAATGAAGATATCGGATTACACGAGATACAATTGACTTTCCATCCAGCCCTAAGTATTTATTTGAACGCTTATTTGGGTCGTTAGTAATTGAACCAGTTGTGAACGGCTGAAACGATTTGGAAATTGTATTGTATTTCGGTTCATAGATTTTATAATATGTTCTACCTCTTGTGGCTAAACATTGTCTATATACATATAACAGCAGGCTACTGAAATATGCTCATTATTTCTTTTATCACTCACAAGGCGGTACCTCCGATTATTTAATAGTTTGGTGGTTTAAGCCACAATATTTAGCAGATGGTTCTCTAGCAAAGACGGAAGTGAACACACTATTCAATCCTTTTCTCTTCCCTCTAGTCGTTTTTTTCCTTGATAATCTAGTCGTATTTTTCATATTTTCCAAATTTGCATTTCAATTGAAAAGGGCAAAGCAACATCCATAATTTCCTAACGATTTCTCGATGTGTTGGGATGACAACTAAAATTTAAGAGGAAGGATATGAAAACATTAAAAGCATTTTAGACTTATTTGTTCTGCAAATTCCAAATTAAAATAAGTGAGTGTGATTCTCATTCACACGTGAATGATCGACACTTATAGAGCTTGCTTTTCACCAAAGTCATCATGTGAAAAAGCTGAAAAAGTCAAGTGAAATCTTGACATTGGTAGCGACCAGCAAATTATACAAAGCTGCCAGTTTCGTTTTGAATAACATTGCTCTCTGTAATGGAGAGTAATATAAATTAAGTCAATGGGGGAATACTCCAGACTAAGCAATCAACCGATTAAACCTTCATCTATAATAAAACGAACAGGTAAAAAAGCAGCTAAGTTCAGCCAGGCCGAATTTTTAACACCCTCCACTATTTAGAAGGAAATTAAGGAAAAAAGACGTGGACCTATATACGAAATTTTTTGCCATCATTTGTAGTACCCATTACGAACTTCAAATACCAAATTTGAAACAATTCCGGTGAATAATGTCGCTAAAGTCATCAAAATACCGAATATCGGTATGTATCGTTATATGGAGGATACATGAAAACGTGAACCTTTGTCATAGGCTGTAGTACCCATTACGAACTTTATATACGAAATTGGTTACAATTCCGGTGAATAATGACAAACAAATCATAAAAATTCCGAGTGTCGGGAGTTACCGTCATATGGGGGCTATACGAAGATGTGGACCTGCATACAAACATTTTTGTCATAGGCTGTAGCACTCATTACGAACTTCAAATATGAAATTTGAAATAATTCCGGTGAATAATGTCGTTGAAATCATGAAAATGGCGAATATAGGAAAACGTGGACCGACATAGCCCATTTACGAACTTAATATGCCTACTGGTAAACTATGCATGTATGTAAATTTTAGCCTTCTATCTAAATTCGTTCGGAAGATGGCGTGATTACAACAGACAGGCGGACACCGCTAGATCGTCTTAGAATTTTACGCTGATCCAGAATACACATACTTTGTAGGGTCTCTTGTAAATATTTCGAGGTGTTACAAACGAAATGAGGAGGGTATAGAATGGTGTAGAGTATAAAAATTAAAATGATTTCTTGAAAAAATATAGTTTGGTTTACATTTTTGGACATATAACTCTGACACTTGTATTACATTCAATAATAATTTTCTATGAGTTCTTTGCTGAATTTTATTTGTTTAAGTAAGAATTGTATCCATTTATTTGAAATGGAATCGTGGTGCAGTTTGTTGCACCACATATCGCATTGTGCATTCGTTGAAATCTGTTCACTACTTTTTATTGCAACATTGATATATCAGATTTCAACGAATTGGCGCTAAATCTACCACCTTACTTCAGTCTGTCTTGGTGATTCCTTCTTGCTATTGGGAGAGTGTTCGTGCTCAACACTAAAAACATTACACGTTCGGTGTAATTACTAAGGTACCTATTGATTTGAATATCAATAAAGAATTCATATATTTTTTTGAATAAGAAACTAAAACGATCGTGGTTTATTACTATTTTTCTCCCCCATTTATCGAAGCGCAATTTCGGCGCAGTAGCATTTGATCCTGTCGAGCCGGATTCACCATCTCAGGTTAACAATATTTGTTGCAGTATTGCTTTCTACATTAAATAATTTTACTATCATATTCGAATCCTATGTTCACAGCATTTTCACCGGAATTGTTTCAAATTTGGTATTTTTCTTACAGCCTAAAACAGAAAATTTTTGTATGCAGGTCCACACCTTCGTACAGCAGCCCATATAACGGTACCTCCCTATATTCGGTATTTTGATGATTTTAGCGACATTATTCACCGGTAATGGCTTATGACAAACAATGCCTATGCAGGTATTCGTCGTATAGACCCCGATATAACGGCTATATTCGGTATTAAGATTAAGATTTTAACAGAATTTTTAACGGATTTTTTTTTTTTTAAATTTCCAAATTCGTTCGAACTGGTGCAGGATATTCAAAGTTCGGCCCAGTCGAACTTACTGATTTTTAGCTTGTTTGTTGCTTATTTCATTCTCTTTTAAAGCAATAAACTCACTTTATATTCTGCAAATTCGAATGAATCCATGCCAAAAAGTCCAAAAGTCTCATTTATTGCAAGTATCTTGACCCGGAATTTCTACTTTACGAAAAGCTGTACCATTTTAGGCAATCAGCATTCAAATCTAAGTCTATATGCAAATCAAAATTTATATTATGTATCTCATAATGATATGTACTGTACTACTAGGGAATAAAAGGTTATATTATATGTTTCAAAATCCAATTTCTACCTTGAAGACAGAAGAAATGCTAAATGAGTCATGCTACGATGAATGACAAAAAATGCCGTGTGATTCATATTCGTACTTTTAAGAGCAAACGACTGAACGATAACAAGTTAAACAACAGTAAGTTCGGCCGGGCCGAACTTTGAATACCCTCCACCATTTGGAACGAATTTAGAACTTTTCAAAAAATAAAATCCTTAAAAAATTCTGTTACAATTTTAAAAATACCAAAGATAGTAGTTATATTGGAGCGTATACTACGTGGACCTACATATGCATTGTTTGTCATAAGCCATTACAATATTCAAATTCGAAACTTGAATTAAACTGTCAATAATGTAGCTAAAATCATCAAAATATCGTATATAGGGAGGTACCGTTATATCGGAGCTGTGAGAAGACCTGAACCAACATAGACAATTTTCTGTCACAGGCTGTAGCATCCGGTGAGTATTGTATCTAAAATCGTCAAAATACCGAATATAGGGAGCTACTGATATATGGGGCCTATACGAAGACCTGGACCTGTATAGACAATTTTCTGTCTCAGACTGAAGTTCCCATTATGAACTCTAAATACGTAATTTGAAACAATTCTGGTGAATATGACGCTAAAATCATTAAAATGCCGAATATTGGGAGGTATCGTTATATGGGGGCTATACGAAGACGTGGACCTGCACAGAAAATTTTCTGTCTTAGACTGTAGTATCCGTTTCGAACTTCAAATACCAAATGTGAAACAGTTTCGTTGAATAGTATCGCTAAAATCAAAAAACTACCGAATATCGGGAGGTACCGTTATATGGGGGCTATATGAAAACGTGGACCTACATGGCCCATTTACGGACTTAACCTCCCTACTAGAAGACTAAACATGTGTGCAAAATTTTAGCCGTCCATCTCAATTCATTCGAAAGATAGCGTGATTACAACACACAGACGGACAGACAGACGGACATCGCTAAATCGAATTAGAATTTTACGCTGATCAAGAATATATATACTTTGTTGGGTCTGGCATGATTATTTCGAGGAGTTACAAACGGTATGACAAAGTTAATATACCCTCCATAGTATGGTGGAGAGTATAAAAATAATATGAATTGTATACTAAGAAACAATGTATTTTTTCGTCAAATTTCGTACAATTTATTATTTTTGATAAATAAGAGAACTATTTTAATTGGGAAGTATGACATTACGATATTGTTGACAGTTTTGTTAAGCAATGATTAACATTCATATATTATTTATTAATGTTGAAAGTGAGATATATTTACTGTATTTACTTAGTCCTTTCCGAGTAAAATTTACTATTTCATTCTAATACTTATAGTTAGCTCACTAAAAGCTTTCTAAGATTTAACTGAATTGAAAAACAGAAAATTGCATGTAATGTGTTATGCATAATTATAAATAAAAAAACCACTCATACTTACGTACTCATTTTCAGATTCTATATTCTCAGAGAACAACGATTTTTCGTCTATTACATATCCGTAACATAGATATATCAAAGCGAAAATTGTTGAAACATGCAGAAATTTCATAGCCATTTCTCTACGTAGAGTTATGTATGCGATTAAGAAAACGAATATACAATATTTATGTTAGCTAAAAATACAATCGATTGCCTTTTTTATTTTTTAGCTTTTTATATTTTACACGCTACTTAATATATAAATCCACCACCTTATCCAAACTTTATTAAAAAGTTTAGTAAATGAATTTCTGTTGTTGTGTACAGTTTTTATAATACTAAACAGTTTCTTTATCGAAAAAGCATATGTTCAACAAAAACTGGAATTTCTTTATCAGGCCAAAAATGCAAAAGATTAGATAAGAATATAGGTACTCGTACATTCACAATTGTAGCTTGTACAATTTCAAATTTTGTTCAAAGTTAGTGAAATATTATGGCCTATCTCTTAGATCATCCGATAAGACCAGCTGATTTCATCCGTGTTTTAAAAATGCACGCAATGAACATATGAAAACGTAGATAGAATTTCAAAAGTATTCGGGGTTTTCAGTCACAATGTTCTTACAATGCCTGTTTAATGGGCCTTGTAAAATAAAAAAACATCCCCTTGTTGTTATGTCTGCGCAGGTAACGTTGGTAGAATCAAACGAGTAAAGAAGCAATTAAGTTCGACCAGCCCGAACTTTTTATATCCTCCACCATTTGGAAGGAACTCGAAAAATTAAAAAAAAACCTCAAAAAAACCGCTCAAACGAAAAACTTTATATGGGGGATATACGAAGACGTGGTGCTGGATAAGTAATTTTTTGTGGTAGGCTGTAGTAACGATTCCGAAATTCAAATACGAAATTTGGTGCAATTCCGGTAAAAATGTCGCGAAAATCCTGGAAATCCCGTATATTTCGGGGTAGCGGATGCTATACTAAAACGTAGACTTACATAGACAATTCTTTTCCGGAGGGGGGTTAAAGTACTCGGAAAGAACTCTTTGTGTGGATTTTTAGACTATTTTATTGAAATAGTGGCAAAAATCATGAAAATACCGAATATCGGGGCCACCATTGCATGGGCGCTATACGATATCGTGAGCCTATATAGACAATTCTCTTTCGGGGGGTTAGGCACTCACAAAGAACTCCTTATGAGGATTTTAAGCCAATTACATAGAAAAATGTGGCTAAAATCATCAAAATATCGCGGGGCACCATTGTATGGGGGCTATACGATATCGTGGATCTATATAGACAATTCTGTTTCAGGGTTTAAAGTACTCACAAGGGGGTACCGTTATATGGGGCTATACGATATCGTGGACCGATATAGCCCATCTTCGAACCTGACCTGCCTGCAGACAAAATACAGATCGGTGCAAAATTGTAGCTTCATATCTTTATTTGTTTTGACTCTAGTGTGATTGCAACAGACGGACGGACGGACGGGGCTAAACCGTCTTTGAACTTTACGCTGAACAAAAATAGAACAGTGTTGGCTTATTTGTTCGGGATACCATAGTATTTTGTTGTTGCAAAATGGTCATGCTTAATCCCTTTACTGTTGTTTTTATAAAAACAACGTTTGTTTATCAGTGGAGAACGATGGAAATGTTTACCGAGGGTAAGGCAGGGAATACCTAGGTTTCTCCAATCCTCTTCAGTTCCCTTGTTTTCTTGGGGTCTATACGAAAAAGTGGACCTGCATAGGCAACTTTTGTCGTAAGCGTTTACAATATGTTATGTACCGCCAAATGGGACGCCATCTTCCTGCGTGCCGCTTACTGCGACACTGTGGTGGGGTTCCGGCAAGCTCAGTTGGGGCACATTATTTTGTCAGAGGGTTTCAACCCTTTCAACATCATCCCAAGGGGTCTAACAGTGAAAAAAGGAAGTGAACACACTAACAAATAAAACACGAAATAAAACGACAAACACGACATACAACCATGACAAGGGAACTTGGTCCCTTTGATCCTAATAAACATTAAAGGTCCCCTTTTACAATTAGACACTTAATATTTCATTATTTCCAACGTAACATTAGACACAATAATATTTTTTATTATCATTATTTGCTTAATCCTAAACATCAACATTTAAACAAGACAAAAATTATATATTTTTTTGGAATTCCTAACACCTCCGAATGTTGTAAGTCATTAATCAGGCAACGACTACTAACTTCGCCAAAACTGGCCGCTAAATCAAATTTTTATTTATCCTTAAAGAGCTCTCTTAAAGGTCGTTGCTGGACATTACTTTACTACTTGGTCCAGAAAAAAAAAATTAACTAAGTCCTAATTCAATGGGGTAACCCTACACTCACGTACGGTTCCCTGGCGTTAAAAATCCTAACAATTAATAGAACTTACGTACTAGACTACTATCTACGGACGTTCACAAATGTTTTAACATAAAAAAAAACTACTTTAAATTTGTCTTTTTTGTTGTTTGTGGTTTTCTTTAGTATTTGTTGTGTGTTCTCTCTATGTTTCAAACATCGACGAATTTATTTAAATTTTATTTTCTTTTAATTCCAGGAAATGTATTTTCGCTCGTCATGAAGTCTTTTTGGCGCTAATTTCTCACGGCCATTGCAGGCAACCAATCATAAATATCACAGCGAAGTAAGCAAATAATTTAATTTTTTTTACCTTTTATGCCGGTACTTATCACACTCTTTCTTTCTTTTCTTTACGCCCAACGAATAAATAAGATCAGCGCTGAGAACGTTTACACAGGACACATTACATACAGTACGGAACAAGACGCTTCACAGGGGTTCATACACACAAGATTCGTTTGCTTCTTGCCTGCCGATTGGATTTGGCACTCGGACGGACTCTTCTGGTTCTTCCCGAAAAATTGTTGCTGACCGCCTACAAGTATATATGTGGAGGGGCCAGAGTTTTTTTTATTTGGTGGCATTCCTTGGCGAGACCTTAATCCAAAACATACATTGCATTAAAGGCCCTTTAACGTGAAACACCGTACTTACTTCTGTTATTGTCCCACACTAACATCAAATAAACCAGTCACACCAAACTCAATAAACAATGCAAAAAAACAATGCTTTTGGTATTAATTCTAAAACAAAACTCTTGCTCTGTATCTTTTTTTCTCAATGGGAAAAATGACTTGCAAACAACAAACAACAGGCTAATAAAACATACATTTTCCCTGCTCTGCCTTTTTATAGAGACAAAAGCAGGCTGATTTTCCCTATTTTCTTTTTCCCGAATTTTTCCTGTTTATCACCTCACGCTCACCTACATATTCTTACACTACCGCAGACTTGTATTTCCCTATCTACAGAAAATTATAGTTGGCAACGCTGGAATTCAGCACATGAGCCGGCCACTTGGCGTATCCTTGTTTTAATAAATTAAATATATATATATATATATATATTTTAAATGTCTACACGCAACGAAAATTCAAATACGAAAATTGAAAAAAAAAAAAAACAATCCGGTGAATACTGTAGATAAAATCATCAAGATACCGAATATTGGGAGGTACCGTTATATGGAGGCTAAACGAAGACGTGGGATTGCATGCGTAATTTTTTGTCATACACTGAAGTTTCCATTACGAATTCTAAATACGAAATTTGAAACAACTCCGGTGAATAATGTCGCTAAGAACAGCAAAATACTGAATATTGAGAGGTACCGTTATATGGGACCTATACAAAGACCTGGACCTGCATGGACAATTTTTAGTCATACACTGAAGTTTTTATTACGAACTCTAAATACGAAATTTGAAAAAACTCCGGTGAATAATGTTGCCAAAATCATCCAAATACCGAATATTGGGAGGTACCGGTATATGGGGGCTAAACGAAGGCGTGGGTCTGCATGCGCAATTTTTTGTCATAGGCTGCAGTACCCATTACGAATTCTAAATACGAAATTTGAAACAACTCCTGTGAATAATGTCCCTAAAATCGCCAAAATATCGTATATGTATGTGGTTTATAAGATATCGTGTACCTATATAGACATTTCTCTTCCAGGGAGTAAAGTGTTTGGAAAGAATTATGGATTTCGTTTGAAAATGTAGCTAAATTCCTCAAAATACTTAATATACAGAGGTATCGTTATATGGGGACATACATATAGACAATAATCTTCCAATATAGACAATAAGCTTCCAGGTGGTAAAGTGCTCAGAAACAACTCCTTGTGTGGATTTTCAGACAATTTGGTTGGAAAATGTGGCTAAAATCATCAAAATACCGAATATTGGGGGTACAGTTATATGGGGGGCTATACGATATCGTGGACCGATATAGCCGATCTTCCAACTTAACCTGCCTGCCGACAAAAGACTGATCTGATCAAAATTTTAGCTTCCTATCATTATTCGTTTTGACTCTAGCGTGATTACAACAGACGGACAGGGCTAAATCGTTTTAAGATTTTACGTCTAAAAGTATTATTTCGATGAACTTAATATACACTCCATACTATTTATGGTGGAGGATATAAATAGAGAAAACAAGCAAGCAAAGGCTATAGCCGTGCGGGGCCGACCATGTGATACCCTACAACACTACAATATGTTAGAAGTCCCCTTATGTCCAAATCCATTTTGGAAGATTACACTTTTGAAATTATGTCACGGAGCTCTGTCCAGATATTTGCCTTAGCATTTTGACCAGGGACATTTGCCCAATATTTATCCACTCCGTCGTTAGTTGTTGTGGTCCATTTTACAGCTAAATATAATCCAATGGTCATCCAAAATGGTAGAATTCTTCTCTGTCCTCAACTCTCATTTCAGGCGTGTCGATTGGCTTCAATTGTGTGAAATATTATTCAATTGTGTGAAATATTTTGCCATCATCTCCAAAAGCAAGAGACCCTCTGTATATCCAAATTTAGACTCATCTATAGGAGTTGCCTTTCTTTTTCTTCAAATAAGCCTGCAGTTAGCCTTTTGTGTATTTTGGATATTGTCTGTAAGTAAGTAAGTAAGTAAGTCCATTCTACCAGCTGTCCGAAACTCTAACTTCATGCGAGATTTTGTGTCCTTTGGTTTCTACAATGCCTGTTTAATGGGCCTTGTAAAATAAAAAAACATCCCCTTGTTGTTATGTCTGCGCAGGTAACGTTGGTAGAATCAAACGAGTAAAGAAGCAATTAAGTTCGACCAGCCCGAACTTTTTATATCCTCCACCATTTGGAAGGAACTCGAAAAATTAAAAAAAAACCTCAAAAAAACCGCTCAAACGAAAAACTTTATATGGGGGATATACGAAGACGTGGTGCTGGATAAGTAATTTTTTGTGGTAGGCTGTAGTAACGATTCCGAAATTCAAATACGAAATTTGGTGCAATTCCGGTAAAAAATGTCGCGAAAATCCTGGAAATCCCGTATATTTCGGGGTAGCGGATGCTATACTAAAACGTAGACTTACATAGACAATTCTTTTCCGGAGGGGGGTTAAAGTACTCGGAAAGAACTCTTTGTGTGGATTTTTAGACTATTTTATTGAAATAGTGGCAAAAATCATGAAAATACCGAATATCGGGGCCACCATTGCATGGGCGCTATACGATATCGTGAGCCTATATAGACAATTCTCTTTCGGGGGGTTAGGCACTCACAAAGAACTCCATATGAGGATTTTAAGCCAATTACATAGAAAAATGTGGCTAAAATCATCAAAATATCGCGGGGCACCATTGTATGGGGGCTATACGATATCGTGGATCTATATAGACAATTCTCTTTCAGGGTTTAAAGTACTCACAAGGGGGTACCGTTATATGGGGCTATACGATATCGTGGACCGATATAGCCCATCTTCGAACCTGACCTGCCTGCAGACAAAATACAGATCGGTGCAAAATTGTAGCTTCATATCTTTATTTGTTTTGACTCTAGTGTGATTGCAACAGACGGACGGACGGACGGGGCTAAACCGTCTTTGAACTTTACGCTGAACAAAAATAGAACAGTGTTGGCTTATTTGTTCGGGATACCATAGTATTTTGTTGTTGCAAAATGGTCATGCTTAATCCCTTTACTGTTGTTTTTATAAAAACAACGTTTGTTTATCAGTGGAGAACGATGGAAATGTTTACCGAGGGTAAGGCAGGGAATACCTAGGTTTCTCCAATCCTCTTCAGTTCCCTTGTTTTCTTGGGGTCTATACGAAAAAGTGGACCTGCATAGGCAACTTTTGTCGTAAGCGTTTACAATATGTTATGTACCGCCAAATGGGACGCCATCTTCCTGCGTGCCGCTTACTGCGACACTGTGGTGGGGTTCCGGCAAGCTCAGTTGGGGCACATTATTTTGTCAGGGGGTTTCAACCCTTTCAACATCATCCCAAGGGGTCTAACAGTGAAAAAAGGAAGTGAACACACTAACAAATAAAACACGAAATAAAACGACAAACACGACATACAACCATGACAAGGGAACTTGGTCCCTTTGATCCTAATAAACATTAAAGGTCCCCTTTTACAATTAGACACTTAATATTTCATTATTTCCAACGTAACATTAGACACAATAATATTTTTTATTATCATTATTTGCTTAATCCTAAACATCAACATTTAAACAAGACAAAAATTATATATTTTTTTGGAATTCCTAACACCTCCGAATGTTGTAAGTCATTAATCAGGCAACGACTACTAACTTCGCCAAAACTGGCCGCTAAATCAAATTTTTATTTATCCTTAAAGAGCTCTCTTAAAGGTCGTTGCTGGACATTACTTTACTACTTGGTCCAGAAAAAAAAAATTAACTAAGTCCTAATTCAATGGGGTAACCCTACACTCACGTACGGTTCCCTGGCGTTAAAAATCCTAACAATTAATAGAACTTACGTACTAGACTACTATCTACGGACGTTCACAAATGTTTTAACATAAAAAAAAAAACTACTTTAAATTTTTCTTTTTTGTTGTTTGTGGTTTTCTTTAGTATTTGTTGTGTGTTCTCTCTATGTTTCAAACATCGACGAATTTATTTAAATTTTATTTTCTTTTAATTCCAGGAAATGTATTTTCGCTCGTCATGAAGTCTTTTTGGCGCTAATTTCTCACGGCCAATGCAGGCAACCAATCATAAATATCACAGCGAAGTAAGCAAATAATTTAAATTTTTTTACCTTTTATGCCGGTACTTATCACACTCTTTCTTTCTTTTCTTTACGCCCAACGAATAAATAAGATCAGCGCTGAGAACGTTTACACAGGACACATTACATACAGTACGGAACAAGACGCTTCACAGGGGTTCATACACACAAGATTCGTTTGCTTCTTGCCTGCCGATTGGATTTGGCACTCGGACGGACTCTTCTGGTTCTTCCCGAAAAATTGTTGCTGACCGCCTACAAGTATATATGTGGAGGGGCCAGAGTTTTTTTTTATTTGGTGGCATTCCTTGGCGAGACCTTAATCCAAAACACACATTGCATTAAAGGCCCTTTAACGTGAAACACCGTACTTACTTCTGTTATTGTCCCACACTAACATCAAATAAACCAGTCACACCAAACTCAATAAACAATGCAAAAAAACAATGCTTTTGGTATTAATTCTAAAACAAAACTCTTGCTCTGTATCTTTTTTTCTCAATGGGAAAAATGACTTGCAAACAACAAACAACAGGCTAATAAAACATACATTTTCCCTGCTCTGCCTTTTTATAGAGACAAAAGCAGGCTGATTTTCCCTATTTTCTTTTTCCCGAATTTTTCCTGTTTATCACCTCACGCTCACCTACATATTCTTACACTACCGCAGACTTGTATTTCCCTATCTACAGAAAATTATAGTTGGCAACGCTGGAATTCAGCACATGAGCCGGCCACTTGGCGTATCCTTGTTTTAATAAATTAAATATATATATATATATATATATATATATATATATATTTTAAATGTCTACACGCAACGAAAATTCAAATACGAAAATTGAAAAAAAAAAAAAACAATCCGGTGAATACTGTAGATAAAATCATCAAGATACCGAATATTGGGAGGTACCGTTATATGGAGGCTAAACGAAGACGTGGGATT